AAAAAAGCAAAGCACAATAAAATTTTATTGTAAATTTTTCTAAAAGAATTTGATATCTAATATAGATTTTGGGATAATTATATTTTCACACACCATTCGCTCCCTATACACATCATTTGTTTATCTTTTGTTTGACTCATTCCATACACAAAGGCTATATTTGGCATAAAAAGTTTGGGCTAAAATAGCCAGAAAAAAACAAATAGACTAAAAAGTTAATAAGACAAAATATCACATCCAAATCATAATCATTTCATTTTTTCTCTCATAAAAGTCAAAAAAACCCAAAAAATCATCCAAAATAAGACTTTTTAACCCCAAGCTAAAATAGCGAAAAAGCCAACCTACATCTCAAATGAAGGCTAAATGTTCTAAATATATCCTTAAGTCATAATGTCTACACACATCAACACAAAAATTCAACATATTGGGGCAATTTGGGAACATCATAAAAAAGCCCGAAGTCAACTTTTAACCTATTTTGAGTCACATCATCTCTCACATAATTTTTTTTTTAAAAAGTCAAAAAGTCAACTTTTAACGATTTTTCCAAAACACCCCATTATGCACACACATCACACAACATAAACTCATCCCATACTACTAAACGTAAATCGAAACTGTGCCCTACACACAGTATTTTTCATCATTCTCCGGCAACACTCCGGTAATTGAAACACAACAAAAGAAGTATCTAACACAACATTCTCTGACATTCTCTAAATTTTCAAAAATCAATAATTTTTAATTATTATTTTACTATTATTCTACAAAAACTAAATTATTGTTTTACTATTTTTATTATTCATTTCATATTAGCTGAGGAAAAGAATGAAAACCTATTAGTACTAGTTATCTGAACAAATTTTAAAAATTCGACAATGAACAACTAAATAAAATAATAATTTTTGGTTCTATATTTTTGAATAAAATATAAATTTTCGACATACAACTACCAAACAAAGTAAAAATGTTTGGCTCCATACTTCCGAATTAAATTTATATTTTTTAATCTGTATTTTTGAATTATTTATATATTTTTGGTTATATAGTTCTAAACTATTTAGATATTTTCAATTATGTATATATTTTAATTTTTTTTTATCCTTTTTGTCTACATATTTTTGGTCTGATATGTGTATTGAGAAAATCTAATTTTAAAGTTTGGTGAGTGTATTATGTCCATATTAGCCATTTTGTTTAATGATAAAATTGTAACCAAAAAAAATTACTTCACTAAGTATACGTACAGAGAGTAAATGGTACGTAGAAATAGAGAATTATTCTATATTTTGTTTTATAGATTTTGATGAGAGAATTCTAAAAATATAAATTTTATAAAAAAAAATAGACTTCTAAATCAAAATTTATGATATTTTAAAATTTTGAAATTACTTCAAAAATAAAATTTTATGAATACGCTACAGATTTGAAAAGTAAGGAACAAGTTGGTAACTAAAGATATTTTGGTAAGAAATTATTATTGCATAATTAAATGACTTTAGCTAACAAAATTTTAGTATCTATATATATTTATATGGAAAAATATTATTTTGGTATAAGTTTTAAAATATATTTTTTATATTAAAATATAAAATCATATATTATTTTTATTTTTTTATAATTATTTTTTAAAAGTATCATTGAAATGTGATTTTCTTTATTTATGTATGATTTAATATCACTACAAGAAATTATACATTTGGCAACTAAATTCATTTTCAGCGACAAAATTCATTTTAGTCGCTGTAGACCTACTTTTGCCTACTAAATTGTTTGGTAGCCGAATGAAAATAAAAAAAATTATTTTTGATCTTTGGCGACCAAAATTTTGGTCACGAAAAATGATTAAACAAAATAGTTATTTTATTTTTATTTTTATGAAAATGTTGTCAAATCTTAACAACGTTGTTCATAAACATTGTTAACAATGACATTTTATCCACTTGAAATTTGACTTTCTTTTTTGTTTTAAATGAGAAAAATAAAATTGAAAGAAACTTCTTTTTTAAAAATGAAAATGAAACAGGCTTATTAATTAAATAAAAATGAATTCCCATTAGTAGCAGGTATATGAATAAAACAATCAGATTTATTGAATTAAGTGGTAAAAGCCAGTTGGCTTTATTAATTAGGCTATCATCTTCTAAATTAATTTAAGGTTTACTTTAATATAATAAACTAGTTACAACTGCATAATAAATTAATTAAATCCACTTGACACATGATTTCTTCACCTGTCTTTATCTATGACAAAATATACATATTGCGTGTTCTAAAATTCTGAATCAAATTGATTAGTGCCTAGTTAGTCATGCAGGAGTCCCAAAAAAAAATTAAGTATATTTTACAATATCTATATAATAAGACATTTCAATGACTATGATTCATTTGTCTATTTAAATAGATGGCTGAGATGACCCCCTTAAATATATATCAATCCCCTTCTAGCACCACTGTTACATATCTGTTCCGTTTGGGAAGTTCAACCTAATGAAGTAATGATGGTTGGGGATAACCTTAAAGATGATGTGAGTTCTGCTCTATTTCTCTCTCCATCATTTGCACCATATTTGTTAAGAACATTTCTAATTCATTTTGAGATGCTGTTTTTGTATATATATATATTTTTAATTTCACATTCTTTTATCAAATTTGTTTGAATCAAAACATGCTTTTGTGTAAATTAAAGCTCCTTTACTTGGTCTTTGCTGGTTGCTTGTGGGAAACGCGCGGGAGCATTTACATGCTTGCTTGACAAAATAGGGAGGTATGATTCTCCCGAATACACAGATGTGGAATTTAAGCCAGATTACAAGGTGTCTTATCTTGCCCATGTTCATTCACTACTGGAAGCAAATTTTGACCTGACACCATGATCCACAATTTCCTTGACAATAAAAATTTGCATTGTTAAATTGAGTAGCATTGAGATTCTTAGACCATTTATTATTTGGTGGATACACCTATTTTTGATCCTGTGAAGAATTCATAGGAGAAGCTTTGTGAAGTACGGAGACAGGAAAATACCAAGGAAATATTGTGTATTTGAAAGACAAAGATCTTTCTTTAGTTTAGCATCTTATGGTAGTGTTGATATGCTGCAGAGTCATCGAATATATAGGTTTCCTTGCCAAAGTACTCTTGGATAGATTTCCTGCACATCTTTGTTTGTTGTTATCATTGTATTATGAGGCTAGCTGTTAATGCTTTGTTTGTGGGATGTAAGATTGTTATTGTATATCTATATGTAATACTTTTGACCCATTTTATAATGCGATTTCTTTCTCCCTTTGGTGCAATGCAATGCATATTTTAAAACTACAATGAAGTTTATATGTTTATTTTTGACTAAATGATGAAATAATGTGGCTACGATTGTTTTGATTCTTTTTATGTTTGATTTATGATTTATACGTAGAGATTTACAAAATGAACAATTTAGATCACTTGAGTGAGACTTGAGGTGAGGCTTATAGCAAGACTGCATGCCTGATCCACTTTTATAGACTAGAGGCAATGATGATGATAATTGACCTTAATTTTGATGATGACAGTTTGAATTAAAGAAGATAATAAGTCAATTTTCTTTAATCTCAAATATTCTTATATTTGAAGTCACTCCGTCCGTTGCACCACCACAGAACTTAGGCACAATGCAGTGTCCTGATTACATAAAATATTCAAAATCTGTAAAATTAGTGTCTCCCTTCATCGCTAGAAAGAGTTCATGCAGCATTTCATAAATCCTCTCAGAACAAGGGTGGATTTTATCAGCAACATAACAGCTGTGAGTTTCGCTATTAATATATCTCTGCAAATGTGTGTGTATATGTATGAGGAATTTGGGGATCTTAGAGAAGAGAAAGAAGAAGAAAAATGAAAATCATGTGTCTCTGGAAATGTGTATATATATATATATATGTGTGTATATATCAGTCGATTTATGTATTGGAGAGAAGTGAATTACAGAGTTGGGAAGAGAAAAGCAGACAAGATCTTGATCACAGTTGACCGTTTCAAATGAGATAAAAAAATTACTAACAAATGAATGAAAACATTTTTGGAATAACAACTCATATGAGAAAAATAAATATTAAAGAGCTGTTTCAGATTTGCTTATTTAGTGTATTTTTTAAATTTTTTTTTATAAAAAAATGTATAGAAAAATAGAAAAGGGATGAGACATAAATAAGTATACTCATCAAATAAGTGGAATTATTTAGATTATTCCTAAACAGGAGGGTTTTTGAATCTTCAATATATTATTTAGTATACTAAGACATTTGAACAGCTCAGATCTGTTCCAATTACAAAACGACTGTGATGTATGCTATGTGTACATTTTTCACTTTCCCATTTTTTTCTCTTACTTTTTCTTTTTCTCTTTCTCACCCACCTTTCCCATTATCTCATAAATAATCCACGAATGATCCCATCATTCCACATTCTTCATTTTCTTTTTTTTATTTTATTTCCCCCTTTTCTTTTTTTCCTCCTTGTTTATTTATTTATTTATTTATTTATTCACTTATTTTAATTTACACCGTGCCTTCAGGCACGGGCATACACTAGTAAGAATATAAGAGAATATAAGAAAAATTTTAAAATATAAGAATATAAGCAAACATAAGAATATAACATATAAGAATATAAGAAAATATAAAATATAAGAATATAATATTTTAAAATATATTATTATATTTTTCAGTAAAAAAAATATTAGGACAAATATTTGTTTAAGAGAATTAGTTTCGGCGACTAATTGGATTTTGGTCGCCAAATAATGCAGTTTCACCGACTATGTTTTTAATAGCCAAACGTGCCACGAAATTGTGGAGGGAATATTAATTTTTCATAATATATATTAGCGACGAAAATAATTTTTGGTCGGTAATAAATATTTTTTTCTTCTATCTTCATTGCAAAAGTATCCCAGTTCCCTCCCTCTCGCACTCCCGCCTCTATCACTGCTCTGTCACCATCGCAAGAGTTGTTGTATCATCCCCCGAACTCCCTCCCAGGTATCTCCCTCTCTCTCTCTGTATCTCCCTCTCCATTTCTTAAACATCTCACAAGGCCTCTCGGTTTCCCTCTTTCTCTCTCTCTCTCTCTCTCTCTCTCTCTCTCTCTTTCTCTCTCTCTCTGTTTACACACACACACACACACACACACATACATGCATATGTATATATATATACACACACACACACGAATCATATATTCACAACCTTGATTCCATATATACTCGATTATAAACACAAATCACATGTACACTCACGCCTCTGCCCTCTTTTCTACAAGAATAGTCTCCATCGCCCGAACTCCCCCGAACTGGATCATCCCCCGAACTCCTTCCCAGGTATGTTTGAATTTCGCATCTGTCTCTCCCTCTCTCTGTATCTCCCTCTCGATTTTCCTCTGTTTCTATCTGTCTCTGTTTACACACACACCCACATACATATATATATATATATATATATATATATATATATATATCCACACATATGCACATGTCAAAACACACAGAATATGAAGTACGAAATGCCCTCAATTAGGGCATTGTTATTGAAATGTGATTCAAATTAAAAATTACATCTCTTGTATTTCCAGTTGCCGCATCTCTTTCGCAATGCTATGAAATTTTTTCCATAAAAAATCATTATGTTCTTGCTAATCAGAATATTTAATTCAGTTTTCTGGAAATTTATTTTTGGTGATCTGAATGAGGTGATTTAAATCAGGTTCTGAATGGTTTCTATGCAAGAAATTGCCGACTAACATGTGAAGTCATAGATCTTTGAACACTTCTCACACTTCCATTTCTTTTCCCCATGTTACTAGCTGCTCGTTGCTTTTGGATGCCTTGGTAAGAATGTTGAGGTACTTAATATATACCTACTGTTCTTTTTCATAGTTGCATTTCCAATGTATGAAATTGATGTAATATGTGGAGGTTGAGAATCTTGAGATATGAATGATTTTAAAATCAACAGATGAATAAGTATTCACACTTGAGGTATGATATTTTGTGTCTTGGAAAAAAGATGCAGTGATCATAGTTTTGGTAAAACAAGGGCGGGGATTAGATTGTCCTTGTAGATTCTTCGGCTGATGTTGTGTTCTTGAATAAACATATAGTAGTAGCTTGGTACCCATGGATCATGACTTTCGATCTGTTGGCCTAGCTATGTATGCTTTTTTTTTTTTAAACATTTGGTGTCATTGTGCATTTTAAGTTGAAATATGCTTGTACAATACAATAATATTATAAGTGAACATTTAGGGAATTGACTAACCAAAATAATTTCTTGAGATTAAATGGATTTTTTTTTTCTATGTACTTGTGATCAGCTACATTCATCCTTTGTCCTTGACCTTAGTTTTTTGTTTTTTGGGTTTTAAATCATGGGTTGCATTTCTTAGTTTTCCCTCTGGTGCCTTTGAGACTGGGTGCAATTATTGATCTTTTTGCTTATGAGAAATATATATTCGTTGACGTTCTCTAAAGTCTTTCTGAGATGCATTCATATTTTAATAATCATCTCTTGTATTTCCAGTTGCCGCATCTCTTTCGCAATGCTATGAAATTTTTTCCATAAAAAATCATTATGTTCTTGCTGATCAGAATATTTAATTCAGTTTTCTGGAAATTTATTTTTGGTAATCTGAATGGGGTGATTTAAATCAGGTTCTGAATGGTTTCTATGCAAGAAATTGCCGACTAACATGTGAAGTCATAGATCTTTGAACACTTCTCACACTTCCATTTCTTTTCCCCATGTTTTCTGGCAAAAGTGTTTCTTGATTCCATTGAGATCACCAAGAGCCCTTGAATGATTGTGGTGCACACAACTAGGCTTAGGGCACACATAGTGCTTTATGTTATCTTCGCTTTTTCTTTGCTTCAGCGTCCATGGAAGGTTGTGTCCTCTCTTGTGAAGCTGCAAGTCTTGATCTCTCTAAAACCCCACCTTGTGTTTTGTTTATTTCATTTTTAAAATTTTTAGAAATGGTCATTGGATGTGCAACGATTGATTTCAGCCATTGCAACAATGCATAGCTCATGTGTTTGCATCGATGTTGTAAATTTTACTTTTACTGCCTCAACCTCATGAGTATCCACGAGCCACTGCTTTTTTTAATAAATAACATGTCATGCACACACACTGTGAAGAGCATGAAAATGATGAAGATGGATTAATGGCTTAACTTCCATAATTACGCATTGTTTTAGAACAAATCGTGTCACAAAGTCCCACCCTAAAAGAGATTTATGTGACAAGCCAAACAGTGAATGAAAAACAACATAATCTATCTCAACTTGAAATGCGTGTTCTCATTTGTTCCTTGGTTAATCTTTGTGTGAGTTGTAGGTGACAAAATGGACAAGAGTTGGATGACGATAAATAATAGGCTGACAAGTAAAGAGTATCAACAAGGGGTGAAGTCATTCCTTGATTTTGCTATGGCAAATTTAGGTGTAGAGGATGACATTAGGTGTCCGTGTGTCGATTGCATTAATGGCACAAAACATAGCAGACAAGTTGTGTGGATGCACTTGATCCGAAGAGGAATGGCATCTTCGTATTTAACTTGGGTGCATCATGGGGAACATGTTCCTGTGTCTCGTCCTAGTGCATCAAATGACCAATGTGGAGGTAGTGGCGAATGTATGACAGATATCGATGATCCGCCCATGGATGAGTTGCCTATTATGTTGGAAGAAATTTACGTGAGTGGTCTTATGGATGATCATACCGACGAGGAACCTAATGGTTTGGAGAGGGAGGATTTGCATAAGTTCACTAGGTTATTCGAAGATGCACAACGCAAAGTTTACCCAACATGTGAAAAGTCTTCTGTGCTATCATTCGTCATTAAGATGCTTCATTTGAAGGTGTACAACAAATGGAGCAACCGATCATTCGATATGGTTATGCAGGTATTCAAGGACATTCTACCAGAATGTGATCAAACAGTTCCATGGACACTCTATGATGCTAAGAAGTTCTTACGTGACTTGGGTTTGGGATATGAAACAATTCATTCGTGCAAAAATGATTGTGCACTATTTTGGAAGGAGAGTGGTAATTTGGAGAAATGCCCTACATGTGACGCATGTAGATACAAGTTGAACGATGATGGTGGTAAAAAGATTCCACACAAGGTATTACGGTACTTTCCATTGACACTGAGGTTGAAAAGACTGTATATGTCCAAAAAAACAGCCTCAGATATGAGATGGCACAATGAGAAGCATGTGGATGATGACATATTAAGGCACCCGGCCGATGGTGAAGCATGGAAGGACTTTGATAAGAAACATCCGACGTTTTTTGATGACTCTCGAAATGTAAGGCTAGGCCTGGCAACAGATGGTTTCAATCCATTTGGGAATATGAGCACATCATATAGCATGTGGCCCGTAATCTTAATGCCTTACAATCTCCCACCGTGGAAGTGCATGAAAGAGCCATATTGCATGATGTAATTGCTTATTCCCAGACATTCGGCACCTAGAAGAGACATTGATGTTTACCTGCAACCATTAATAGAAGAATTGAAGAATTTGTGGGAGCATGGTGTGCAAACATATGATGCATCGAATGGGCAAATTTTTAGAATGCATGCGGCGGTAATGTGGACCATAAATGACTTCCCTGCGTACGGTAACATGTCAGGGTGGAGTACAAAGGGTTACTTGGCTTGCCCTAATTGTAACAATAATCCATCGTCCCAGGGATTACGAAGTAAAATAGGGTATATGGGTGCTCGTCGCCACTTGCCTGAAAACCACACCTGGCGAACAAGTAAGCTCTTCAATGGTCAAACGGAGCATAGGTCCAAACCTTTGGAGTTATCGGGGGACCAAATACTAGAGCAAATTGATTCTGCAGGTTCTGAATGGTTTCTATGCAAGAAATTGCCGACTAACATGTGAAGTCATAGATCTTTGAACACTTCTCACACTTCCATTTCTTTTCCCCATGTTTTCTGGCAAAAGTGTTTCTTGATTCCATTGAGATCACCAAGAGCCCTTGAAGGATTGTGGTGCACACAACTAGGCTTAGGGCACACATAGTGCTTTATGTTATCTTCGCTTTTTCTTTGCTTCAGCGTCCATGGAAGGTTGTGTCCTCTCCTGTGAAGCTGCAAGTTTTGATCTCTCTAAAACCCCACCTTGTGTTTTGTTTATTTCATTTTTAAAATTTTTAGAAATGGTCATTGGATGTGCAACGATT